CAGGGAGAATTTCTGTACCTCTTAAGGAAAATAACTGCCCTGACTTGCACTGGTTAGAGTCTTAGGAAAGCTAGCCCAGCCTCTACATGGCAGAGCCCCAGGAAATATTGCTTCTATTACAGATGTTAACTCAATTCTATACTCAATAGAAAAGGAATCTTAAAATGGGATTTTAAATTTTGATTCTAAGCAAAAATTAGAAAAACCTATTATAGACACCTGAGAAAGCCAAGACCATTATCTTATTTAGACCAGGAGAGGTTTGTGTGTTAGGAGGCTATGTCAGAAAAAATTATAAGCTAAGAAGAAATAATGAGGATATAGCAGTACAGTATGATAGGAATTTTAAAGTGAAATCTGTGGCTTTGGGGTTTATTTTTATTTCTTTTTCCAAGAGTGAAAAACTGGCTGTAATGGAATATATTACATTGGGTAAAAATATCTCCATTGTGCTGCTTAGAAAAATATTTTCCATCTTTTTCAGTTTGTTGAGTTACTGAAAATGAGAGAACTAAAGGGAGGGTCAGATGAGGATAAGCATCTAAAAGTTAGTATTTTTTAAAATATCTTACCGTATCAGTTAAAGATAGTCTACCTTCCTAATAGTATTTGGAGAAGTCCATACAGCCAAAATCACAGTTACAGTTTGCCAACCAGTGCAACTAAAGACTCTCAGTTCTGAAAGGGCAGCATTTACCTCTTCTCTGTCCATGATCTTTTTTTAAACTTTATTTTAATCCATAGTATAAGGGTGGGATGACTGATTTACTGAACCTCACCCAACTTAAAGTAAGTGATAAAATGCCCAGTAAATTCTATTACCAAAACATTTCAAATAAACGGAATTTTTCCTCAATCACAAAATAACCTAGGGTTAAGTAAAGATAAATATAAATTAAAGGTAAGACAGAGAACCTACCCTCTGCCTAAACGTTAGGAATTTTCCTAACTAGGTGCTCAGAATAATTGTGATTGAACTCATAACCTTTCATCTAAAATAAACTTGATAAAGTTGAAGAGGGAATCACATGGACCTTAGGGGCCATTATATTTCCCCCTAGACTTAGGCTAATTATTGTAACAGGATGTTGTTAGAACGTGAGAGCTGAAAGCGACTTCAGAGAACATCTAAATAACCCCTTTATTTTACATGTAAAATTGTTGGGGGCAAGAGATTACATGACTTTTAGTGTGACACAATTTGTGGCAGAACTAGCAATAGAACCCCAGTCTTTTGACTTGTAGTTTATTGTCCTTTTTATTACATGTTGTCCCTTTAACCATCTCACATTATCAGACTAATGACAAACCGTAAGGCCAGTTGAAACATTTATTAATCACCTCTGGTACACAAGTCTCTATGCTAGGTGCTTTAGATATAAAGACAAAAATGAAACTGTCCATCTTTTAAATGAGCTTACATTCTACTGGAAGAGAAGGGACACAGCTTGTATAGGGATAAGTATATTCCAGCTGGAAAGAATCGGGAAATTTAATGGAGGAAGTATACCTAAGCTAAGCCTTGGAAGAAAATAAGGATACTAAAAAGCAGCTTTATAGCTGGAAATACATTCCAGGCTTTGAGGACAGCTTGTGTAAATGCAGTTTGACATTTGATGAAATGTCAAGTTCAGGAAGTTATTCCAATTTGGCTGGACAGCATCTGTGAAGGGAAATATTGTAAAATAAGAATGGAAAGATAGATGGGAGCCAGATAGCAGAGGGTCTTAAATACCATGCTGGAGAGTTTGTATATAATCCTAGTGGCAACAAGGTTCCATAAATATAATAGACTATAAATTCCATATGGACAGGGACCATATTTTCTCTAAACTTCATATGACCTCAGCTTACCTCAGTGTTCTGTACATAGTAGGTACATGATAAGTGTTGAATGAATGTTCGAACATAGCCCCTAACCTTAACAAATTCATAATGTAATAGTTATGATTAAGTATTTATCCTGACAAACATAATCAATGAATTAACATTTATTGTGTACCTCAACACTGTACCAGACACTTTTATGCACAAAGATATAAACCAAATAGTCCTTGCCCTCAGTAAGCTTGCATTCTCTTGAACAACAATGTGTATACATACATATATATACACACACACATAAGAAGATTAAAAAATATATACAAAGTAACTAAAGATGGTGATGGAGAAATCATGAAAGGCCTTATGTAGAAAGTTGTACTTGAGCTAAACTTTGAAAGCATCTAGGGATTTTCTGAGGTAAGAGTTATGAGGAGCTGCATCCTAGGCATGAGAGATGGCCTGTACCATGTCACAGTTGTGGGAGTGGGACTGTTGGAGTGGGCATTATGGCTGGAACATAGAGTGTTTGAAGGAGAGTGATGTGTAATAAGACTGGAAATGTAGACTGGAGCCAGATTATGAAGATCTTTAAATGCTAAATAGAGAAGATTCTCTTTGACCCCTGGGGCAGTGGGGAGCCCTTGGATGGCATGATCAGCCCTGGGATTTAGAAGATGGATGGCAGAGGAAAGACTGAGGCAAGGAAGCCAGTTAAGAAGTTATAGAAATGGTCCTAGAAAGAGATGATAAGAGCCTCAACTGGGGTCATAGCTGTGTGAATAGAGAAAAGGGACAGGTATGAGAGAGATGGTATAGACAAGATGTTCTAAAAACATTTGGAAGCTGGATATGGGGTGAGGGAGAATAGTCAAAGATGACTCTGAAGGTGTCAGCCTGGGTGACTTCAAGGATAGTGGCCTCCTGAACAGAAATGGAGAAGTTTGGAAGAAGGAAGAGTTTTGAGGCATAACAGTGAATTCTGTTGTGGACATATTTAGTTTAAGATTTCTCTGGGCCAGTCAGTTTGGGATCTCCATTAGAGCATGCTAACACAAGACAAAAGTTGAAGCAAGAAAATAGGGCCAGATAAAGAAATACAGGAGTCATCTTCATAGAGAGGATGGTCAGACCTATGGGAGCTAATATGAGGTCATCAAGAAATAGTTTAGGAGGGGCAGCTAGGTGGCGCAGTGGATAAAGTGCCGGCCCTGAAGTCAGGAGGACCTGAGTTCAAATCCGGCCTTAGACCAAACACTTGATACTTACTAGCTGTGTGACTCTGGGCAAGTCACTTAACCCCCAATTGCCTAAAAAAAAAAGAGAGAGAGAGAGAAATAGTTTAGAGAAAGAAGAGAAGATACAGAACCAAACCATGCGGTATACCTGTAGTTAAGGGCAGGACATGAACAGTGATCTCATAAAGGAGACTGAAGTGTTCTCCCTTTGCAGTTTCTGTCCCTACATTGTACCTTAAGGTTACCCAGGTTCAGAACTGAGGTTAGTTCTTTATTCTTATTCATGCCCCCATATCCAATCAGGCACCGAGTCCTTTCATTTCTGTCTTCTCAAGATCTCTCACATCCATTCCCCCTTCTCTATTCACACCACAGCCACCTTAATCTAGGCCCTCGTCACCTCTTGCCTGGACTACCAGCTTCCTCACTGGTATCTTTATCCTCTCCAGTCCATTCTCTACACAGCTGCCAAATTGATACTCCTAGAGTACTTGTCTCATTATATAACACACACACAGACACTCAGAAAGTATCATCAGCTCCTCATAGCCTTTAGCATGATATGAAAACTCCTCTGTTTGACATTTAAAAGCCTTTATAGTATGGTTCCAGCCTAACTTTGCAGACTGACTATAAATTGGTGCCCCCAAACATCCAGTGATTTAGTAAAGCCATCCTACTTGCTGTTCCTCTAAATAAGACAGTTTATCTCTCATGCCATGACTGGAAGGGTCTCTGCCTTCACTTCTGTCCCTTAGAATTCCTTTTTCCCTTCAGGACTCAGTTCAAGTACCATATCCTTCAGAAGATGAGGAAAGGAATCCTTCCTGATTCCCCCTACTCGTTAGACATCCCACTCAGTCACTGTGTATTTATTATAGATACATGCTTCATTCACTCATCTGCAAATATATTGTATTTCCCATCCTACCTGAAGATTGTACGCTCCTTAGAAGCAAAGACTGTCCTTGTATATATGTCTTCATTCTCAATCCTAGCCCAGCTGGGTACATTCACAGAAGCATCTACAATGCTTCATTTTTCCTCACTTCATATGCATCGTAACATGCCAAGTATCAGTGATTCTGCTTCCCACACCATCTTGCATCTGTCTCCTTTCCTCCACTCACACAAAAACTACTCTAGTTTAGATCCTCCTCACTGCTCACCTGGGCTATTATAATGTCCTCCTAATTGGTCTCCTTGACTCAGTTCTCTTCCCTCCGTTCCATTCTCCACATAATTGCCAAAATGATATTGATAAAGAATAGGTCCAACCATGTTGCACCCCTGCCCGTAAACTCCAGGGGCTCCCTATTTTTTCTGAAGTCAAATGCAGACTCTCTGTTTTAGCATTTAAAGCCTTCCACAGCCTGGTTCTAGGCCCATTACACATTGCTCCCCTTCACATGGTCTTCGTTCCAGCCACACTGGCCTTGTTGATATTCCTCACATATGACATCCCATCTCCTGTCTGTATGCTTTTGCACATGCCATTCCCCCTGACCTCCCACCCTTGTCCACCCTTTAGCATCCCTAGCTTCCTTCAGAACTCAGCTCCAGTGCTTCCTTCTTAATGACACCATTACCGATACTGCCAATGCCTTCCTCCCCAAAATTACCTTGCTTTTACTTTGTATATACTTACACGTGCATATGATGTTTCAACTGATAGATGATGTAAACTCCTTGAGGGCAGGAACTATTTCATTTTTGCACAATACCTGGCACATCGTAGAAACCTATTAAATACTTGTTGTTTGAATTCTGAATATTTTTCACTGGTTTTTTTTTAAATTTAATAGATCTTACAAACGTTTTCTTTCCTTTCTTCCACTATACTTTTCTCTACCATGTGTGAAAAACCTCCTCATTTAAAATGCTATTAATATGCCTTAGATTAATGTATGGTATGACGACCTGATCTTTTTATTTCTACAGATATAAATGAGGAAGAGGAAAAGAAAAAACAGAAAAGAAAAAACAAAGAGAAACTTAAATTGAAAAAGAAAAGAAAAAGGTACCCTTTAATCTCATACAGAAGAATAAGATTTTCTGGAATGTCTTTGAAAGTTTTAAATTGATTTATTTAAGTAGATTTGCCAGTTGTTGGAATAGGGTCTAAGTCAATAGTCACACTCTCTTGAATTATTTGCATCAATTGTTAACAAAACCAGGATTGCTAGAGAGAGAGTTCAAGAATCAAAAATGATATAAAACATCTCATTTGTTGGCATTTGATAACCAAAGACTAACACACTTAACAAAATTATGAGTGGTAAGCTGTCTCTTAAATTTTCTTAAATTAATCTCTCTCCGGTTATACTCTAGAGTTAAAGTTTAAAACGTTATATACACCTTTAATCAAACAAAACAATGGAATGTCACAAATCTTTCTGATCATTTTTTCTCTCATATTTGTGTGCCCACTAAGATGAATGTCAAAATATGTCTGCATCTTCAAAATACAATTGTCTTGAAAGAAGTCATTTATTTTTCTAAAAAACTGTGATATATCCCTCTTGTGCTTGAATGTTCAGTCATTTTCAGTGATGTCCAATTCTTCATGACTCTATTTGAAATTTTCTTGGCAGAGATACTGGAAGTTTGCCCTTTCCTTCTCCAGCTCATTTTACAGATGAGAGAACTGAAGCCAACAGGGTTAAGTGAATTGTCCAGGGTCAAACAGCTAGTTAATGTCTAAGATCAGATTTGAACTCAGAAAGATGAGTCTTCCTGACTGTAGACCCAGCGCTCTATCCTAGATGTCCTTGTGCTTGAGTAGTATACTGAAAATCCGTCCATGTCTTTCAGGACCTTTGCCACTGTTGATCTCTCTATGAATTTTGACTATTAATTATTTGGGGCACTTAATAGGTTATAGCTTGTTACCAATTTCCATTAAATAAATGATACAGAAGACATTATTGAGGATTCATGTTTCACTACTCTTATCTCAATTTCCATCCCTTCCCCCCCAAAAAAAGGAGTTACAGATTTAAAAGTGAAAGGGACCTTAAAAGATCATCCAGTCCACCCTACTCATTTTATATTTGAGGAACTTAAAGTCCAGAGAGCTAATGACTTGCCAACAGCAGGAAGGCACTAGCATTAAAGGGAATTGGAAAAGACTTCCTGTAGAAGATAGGAATTTAGCTGGGACTTGAAGGAAGACAAAGAGGTCAAGAGGCAAAGGAGAGAATATTCCAAACACGAGGGATACCATGAATATGCCTAGAGCCTGAAGATGGGAGTGCATTGTGTAAGGAACATCAAGGAGGCCAGTGTCACTGGATAGCAAAGAACAGGGTTGGGAGTGAGAGAGAGGAGCTATGTAGGGTGCAGAAGACTGGAAAGTTAGGAAGGGGTCAAGTTGCAAAGGGTTTTGAATGTCAAGCAACATTTTATATGTAATACTAGAGGTGATTGGGAGTTTATTGAAAGGGGAGGTGGGGCAGCAGGGAGGTGACATAATTAGATCTGTGCTTTAGGAAGATTAATTTGACAGCCAAGTGGAGGATGTACTGAAATTAGAGAGAGATTTGAGGCAAGGAGAACTACCAGTAAGCTATTGGAATAATCTAGACCTAAGGTTAGGAGGGCCTGCACCAAAGCAGTAGTAGTGTTAGAGGAAAGAAGGGGGAAAATGAAGCCTTTTCAAAGTAGTAGAGACCTAAAAATGTTTGAAAACAGAGGGGAGAGGAACCAGTGGGGCACAATTAAAGATGCTGTAGAGAAAAGGGTTAAATGAGGGAACAAGGTCCCAGAGGAGAGTTGTAAAGGGATGAGATTGTGATCACCTATGGTCCAAAATTGATCTTTTACTGTCTTTTACTTTTTCTTCCCATGCTGCTATTGCAATAGAAGAAACAGTATAAAGTGAGAATGCCAAAGTTCATCTACAACAGAGGTGTTAAAGTTCCACAAAACTCCCCAGTGCAGCAGGAACCAGATTGAAATATAATTGAGAACTATTTAACAAAATAAATAAAAAATACAACATAGATTATGTTAATTTGTGGTTTTCTAAGTCAAAATGCAGCCAGTAGAGATTCTATTCTATTTGAGTTTGATACCACTGTTCTGGAATGTAAAGATCCAGTGTAATGCATCATTCCCTTACAGACACACACACACACACACACACACACACACACACACACCCCTCTAAAAAATAATACTATTAATAAGGTTGTTTAGATCTAGGAGGAATTCTAGGATATCAAGCATTATGCAAATAAAATATCTATGTAGGACTATCTGTTAAAAACACAAAAGTACATTTTTCCAAAGAGAAAAAATGCTGTCATTCTCATGTAGGTTCCAGTTTCTAGGTACCTCTTAAACTTGAAACCTAAAGATTTGTCCATCTCTGTTCAGCCTAAAACAGTTAAAACAGAGAGAGGACCTAGAACTTATTCATTAGAGAACAGTATTTTCTTTATGTATCTAGGTTTTATCTTATGTATTTTAAGAGTGGTTTTAGGGTTTGACATTGTTGTTTGTTGAGTTATTCACCTATTTCAAGTTTTCCATTTTTGTTCCATGTTCATTAACTTATTGAAATGTGTGTGTGAGGTTGGGGAGAGATAGAAGTTTTTGTAGTCTTGTCTCATGTTATTTGAGAGCCAGGGAAAGGTAGCATGTTGCACAGCTTTATATACAGTTTTGAAGCGTTGGTTTTTATGTAAGGGTGTGAAGTTTAGGAAACCTGCTCTAATTTGTTATTTTCTACTAATTTGAAAATATTATTGAACAGAAAAAATAAAGCAAGGGATTGCAAGGTCCTACTTCATAAATACAGTTCTCTCTTTACATAAATGAGCTGTTCTACAGACCTCTACTTAAAGTGATTTTTACATAGTGTTAATTTGTCCACAGATGTAGGAAAGTGAGGAAGGGGAAGGCAGGAAAGAGCCTCATGTCCATGGAGGGAGGGGTCCAGCACGCAGTTCAAGGATATATGGGGGCCAGGGACAAAGAAGCAAGAGTAGGAGGAGAAACACGCATGACCAGCCAGCCACATGGGCACCTGGCTGGAACTGAGAGGAAAAACACACAGGGGGCAGACACATGGACCCAGCCAGGGACACAGACAGGAGAGGACGGGTGACACAGAGAGGCACATGGAAGCTAAGGACAGACAGGCGGTACCCAACCGTGAATAGAAGACAGATATGTAGGGGCTGGAGACTCAGGCAGGTGCGCAGAGCAAGGCAAAGGTCTCCCCTTTCAGCACTAGAGGTCTTAAACCAACATGGCAGTGGCATGGTGGTCTGTCTACTCATCTGTTATTCTGCTTTCACTCGGAGGGATTTGATTTCTTTCCAAATTCTTTATGTAAAGTTGAATTTTGTGACTGCCTGTATAGAGTATTTAAGTAGGTAATGAAAATTGTATTGAAATGTGTCTGCTATTCTGTATTACCTCTTAGTCAAAGAGATCCATACTTTTATTTAACTTAAGGGACATTTTAAAAAAATATATTTATATTTTTATATTTATATTTATTTTCATTTTCATTCATTTGTGTTCATCCTTGAGCCACCCTTATTCATGTAAAATTATAACTGTTCATGTAATTCAATTAGTGAGCCATCCTCATCCAAAAAGACCTGGGTTCAAATTTGTCTGCCTCTCACACATACTGGCTGTGTGATCCTGGGCAAGTCCCTTAACATCTCAATGCTTTAGATAACTCTCTGAGATTATAATTTCCAGAGAAGGTGCTGAACAGCCTCAGTAAGGGAAAGTTTCCTCACTCAGGAGTTCTGTAAACCAGAGGCATCAAATAATGCTCCTAAGTGCTGCAGCTTGGATGAGATTAAAATGTAATTGGGAAATATTTAACAAAGTAAATAAAAAACACAATTAAGCATAGATAACATTAATGTGTAGTTTTCTAAGTCAGTATGCATCCACAGAAGCCTTAATTACAGTTTCAGGCCCCCATTTTCTATTTGAGTTTGACACCACTGCCTTAGACCAGTGGAATCAAATCCAGTCTCATGCCTGTAACTATCTCCCTGTCTCTTAGGGGAATATACTAATTTTGTAGTGAGTTTATTTTTGTGCAAATGAATTAGATAAACATATAATGACAAATGATAATTGCTACTTAAATTAAGCTTTTTAAGTTTTTATATCATAAGGTTAGTTATAGAGTGAAAAATGAAAATTACAATTAGATGATTTTACCTCACTAGGTTTAAAATATGTTGATAAACTGGAGCTGAGAAGTTTATATTTTGTCACTTTCTCTAAAATAAATATAAATTCTTGTTCAAGTTTCTCTGTCAGCCATTGATTTGATAACCTATGTTTATATTATCCATAGGTCTTATTCATCTAGTTCTACTGAAGAAGATACTTCAAAACAAAAGAAACAGAAATCCCAGAAGAAGGAAAAGAAAAGGGAGAAAAAAAGCAAAACAAAAAAAGGAAAACATCACAAAAAGGAGAAAAAGAAGCGAAAAAAGGAAAAACATTCTTCTTCTTCTGATAGTTCAGACTCTTCTAGTAGTAACTGAGATATCCACTCATTCTGCTGACATTTTATATTTAAGAGATTTGCTTCAGTAATTATGCTTTGTATTAAACTCACACCTTCCAGACAAGCATTCCTCCATGTATAAGGCCAACACCGCTCTTGACCTACCCGGGTTGTGACTATGAAGTAAGAAGGATTATTATAAGATTTAGGAATCAGTCTTGTTAGGGACATATCTTATTTCATTCTCCTTAATATGTTTTTCTTTGCTATTACCATTGCTTTAGAAATTTATCGTAAAGTGTCATCACAAAAGACAAGGAAAAAACCATCTGTACAAGTAGCCTACCTGACTCTCAATGCTATTACCAAATGTCTGTCCACCTTCCCAGGGAGCAGATCTAGGAAGTGAAACATGTGTTTGGGAAGCGGATCCCTGCAGACATTCAACATCTTCCAAAAAAAACCACAGCAAAATCAAGTAGCCTTATATCCTATTATATAAGTAATAGTATATTGTTTTTATAGGACCAGGCTTTTGACCCATAACATTGCCTTATGGGTCTTTTTTTTCTTTAAATAAATGGAATGTACAGAAAAGTACTAAATGCAAGAGCCTTGTTCCAAGTTTTACTCTTATGTGAAAAAAGTTTTTAGTAACTGCCTAGTGTGGGTTTTTCCCTCTAGCAGTTGTAGTATTTTCTTTTCTCTTTAAAGACCAGTCCATTTTGAGCATTTATTCCTAGCATTGCTGCTCTACTTAAGACTTAAAGATAAGATTCTGTTGATCAGTATTTATAGCAGTAACAGCTGTTTTGTTTTGTAAATGTGCCACATTGGCATATGTAAAAGTGATGCTTCAGATATCAACATCTGTATTCTGGGGGAAGATGGAACCTTCATTAGGGTTGGCTTTTTTTTTTTTGTCAGATGAAATATCAAAATTTTATGAAGCTTGTTTGTATTAGAGTAGTGCAGGAATTTTTATAAATTTGAAATTATATACTGTATTTTGTCAAATAATTTTTAAATGCTTTTTTAACATTTGACATTAATTCTCGTGCTTTCTTAAGTGGCCAGTTGGGGTAGGAGAAGGAATTTGATTTTTACTTAGTCATAAACTTTAGCAGATGCATAAAATAGTTTTAATTAAGTTATCGATGAAGAAAGACTGCAGATCTTTATCCTGCCATCTGTTTGGAAAATTAAAAGCTTCAGAATGTTAGAAATAATTTGTCTTCATTGGCTATGACCTTACATTTTTCAAATAAAAATTATATGTTTGAGCATTCTCAATTATAAACTAGCATACTTAGATAACCTGTCCTGGATTTTTTTTCCTTAATAATGGACAACATTCTTTATGGTTATGATCAATAAATTAAAGATTTATCAGATTGTATCAGCATTTGGAATGCCAACTTATTGACCTATTGCCAGCTAGCCTTATGTCCTGAGAGCTGCCTCAGTTGAGAGTTCTGACTTCAGATAAGTTCAGTCAATGATACTGGAGATGAAAGTATCTATGTTTTAGAGGGTATCTGACTGTGCCATTTTCATTCACATTGCCTGAATGGAAATGACTTTTTACCTTTCTTAGCCTTTTTTTAAAATATTTGAAGATATTTTTACCTTATATCCATGCCCTGAATTTCCATGATGCCGCACCCTCATATGTGTTTCTTCCAGTTTGGTGGCCATGGAGACTTAAGCACTTTCAGCTTCTCCTAGATTACCTTGACAATGACAATTCAGCAGTTGTCAGTCCAAGTCAGTTTTTTGTGCAACCTTCATTCCTACAAATTAGTCATTCCCAGCTTCGCTGAGAAAGAGATTCAGTTTTTTATATAGTTTAGACAGCGCCTGGAAAAGACTAGCCAAGATGACAAACTAAACTGAAAGTATTACAGCACAATTTCCCTCCACAAATACTCCACAGAGACCTAGAAAATGCAGACTAAAGCCTGATTAGGAAATTCAAGGGGACAACATAGTCATTTTTTCTAGTCCAGGTTCGTGTTGAGGAACAGAGGGCTATCGCATTGGGATGGGGTCTAGCTGCATGGAGGAGTGTGGGGAATGAAATGGGGCTTAGGAATATTTACAAGGGCAAGAAGAGGTCCTGGATCCAGCTATGCAGGGAGCAGGAACAGATGCCAACTGGTAGATCTAGGTAGATTCTAGAGCTAGGTCACAGATGCAGTGCAGCCCAAAGAGGCCTATAGGGGTGTGGCTAACCAGGACAAAGAGTAGTCCTACGCATGAAGCTGTGTTCTGGACATGGTGCAGGAACATAAGTCAGTAGCAGCTATGGGGCTCTGACCCTGGGGGTGGAGCAAGATCTCAGACCCAGTCCCGCACTCCAGGTTGAAGGCTATAGCAGGATAACTAGTGTAGAGAGCTCAGACTAATGGAGTGCCTGCAGTTTTATTGCTCTCAATTTAGTGTCTTTCAGCTAGCTGATGGCAATTGTGTTTAGTAGCAGTCTGCTGTAGTTCCAACTAAGAGCAAGCCCACCATTGTGTTACTCAGACCCAAACCAGGATCAGGCACTTGTAAAGCTCAGTCAGGTGGGCAGCAATCAGGTCTCACTTTGTCATTTTGGGAGCACTGAAAACTGACAGGTTCCCAGCTTGAGATACCTATGGGGTCCTTGAAGAATGCAACATTCATTGCCTGCTGAAAGCAGCAATAAGATCCAAGAGAATACAAAACAACCAAGCACCAGACATTCTCTCCAAAAGGGTACAGAGCCTGACCCTAATGCAAGTCCATTTGGGGAAGTAAGACTGGAACAATGAGTAAACAAATACAATCCTATCATTAAAAAGCTATTTAAGTGACCAGAATGCCCCAAACAAAAAGAGAATGACTCTAAAACAAGTACAAGCAGAGCCTCAAAGAAAAAGTTTGTGCACAAGATCAATTAGAATTCCCAAAAGAAATACTGCAACAACTAAAAAAAAAAGTTTAAAATGGTTTTATAAATGAAGTGAAAGTGCTAGATAAAAGAATGGGGAAAGAAATGAGACCTTTAAATGAATGATTTGGAAAGAAAATTAACAACTTAACACAAACATTGCAAAAATCTTACCTAAGCAAAAGACTTTTAAAATTAGAATTCACCATCATATGTAATGGGGACAAGCTAGAAGCATTTCCAGTAAGATCGGGGGTGAAACAAGGATGTCCATTATCACCACTGTTGTTCAATATCATATTGGAAACATTAGCTTTAGCAGTAAGAGAAGAAAAAGAAAGGGAAGGTATTAGAGTAGGCAAAGAAGCAAAGCTATCACTCTTTGCAGATGACATGATATACTTAGAGAATCAGGTAAAAAAACTACTTGAAATAATAAACAACTTTAGCAAAGTTGCAAGCTGTGAAATAAACCCACGTAAATCATCAGCCTTTCTATATATTACCAACAAAGCCCAACAACAAGAGATAGAAAGAGAAATCCCATTTAAACTTACTGTAGACATTATAAAATATTTAGGAGTCTACCTCCCAATTACAAAACACTTTTCACACAAAGTCAGATCTAAATAATTGGAAAAACATCACTTGCTCATGGGTTGGCCGAGCTAATATAATAAAAATGACAGTTTTACCTAAGCTAATTTACTTATTCAGTGCCATACCAATCAAACTACCAAAAAATTATTTTATGGAGTTAGAAAAAATAATGAGATTCATTTGGAGGAACAAAAGGTCCAGAATATCAAGGGAACTAATGAAAAGAAATGCAGGAGAAAGTGGCCTAGCCATTCGAGATCTTAAATTGTATTATAAAGCAGCAATCATCAAAACTGCTTGGTACTGGTTAAGAAATAGAGTGGTGCATCAGTGGAATAGGTTAAGTATGCAAGACACAGTAGTCAGTAACTATGGTAATCTATTATTTGATAAACCCAAAGACCCCAGCTTCTGGGATAAGAACTCACTCTTTGAAAAAAAAACTGCTGGGAAAACTGGAAAAGAGTATGGCAGAAGCTAGGCATTGATCAAAATCCAACACCGTCTACCAAAATAAAGTCAAAATGGGTTTATGACTTACGTATAAAGGCTGATACTGTAAGCAAACTAGGAGAGCAAGAAATAGTTCACCTATCAGATTTATGGAAAACAGAAGAATTCATGACCAAACAGGAGATAGACAACATTACGAAAAGCAAAATGGGTAACTTTGATTACATTAAATTAAAAAGTTTTTGCACAAACAAAGCCAATGCAACTAAGATTAGAAGGAAGGTAGAAAATTGGGAAAGAATTTTTACAACCAGTCTCTCTGATAAGGGCCTCATTTCTAAAATATATAAAGAATTAAGTCAAATTTATAAAAATAAAAGTCATTCCCCAATAGATAAATGGTCAAAGGATATGAACAGGCAGTTCTCAGATGAAGAAATTAAAGCCATCTATATCATATGCAAAAATGCTCTAAATCACTATTGATTAGAGAAATGCAAATCAAAACAGCTCTGAGGTATAGTATCACACCTATCAGATTGGCCATGATGATAAAACAAGAAAATGATAAATGTTGGAGAAGGTGTGGAAAAATTGGAACACTAATGCATTGTTGGTGGAGTTGTGAAATGATGCAACCATTTTGGAGAGTAATTTGGAACTATACCCAAAGGGCTATAAAAATATGCATACCCTTTGACCCAACAATAGCACTTCTAGGGCTATATCCCAAAGAGATCATACAAATGGGAAAAGGACCCACATGTACAAAAATATTTATAGCAGCTCTTTTTGTGGTGGCAAAGAATTGGAAATTGAGAGGATGCCCATCAATTGGGGATAGCTGAACAAGTTGTGGTATATGAATGCAATGGAATACTATTGTACTATAAGAAATGATGAACAGGCTGACTTCAGAAAAACTTGGAAAGACTTGTATAGTCTGATGCTGAGTGAAGTGAGCAGAACCAAGAGAACGTTGTACACAAAAACAGCTGTGTTGTGTGATGACTAGTATTGATAAACTTAACCCTTCCCAGCAATGCAGGGATCTAAGACATCTCCAGAGGTCTCATGATGGAAAATGCTATCCACATCCAAAGAAAGAACTATGCAGTTTGAATGCAGAACGAAGCGTACTATTTGCTACTTTTTTTTTTCTTCTGTTGAATTTTGTTTCCTCCTTCTGGTGGTCCCTCCTATTGGTTCCTATTCTTACTTACAACATCGCTAATGTGAAAATATGTTTAATAAGAATGTATATATATAGCCTATATCAGATTGTGTGCTGTCTTGGGGAGGGTGGTGGGGAGGAAGGGGGAGAAAAATTTTAAACTCAAAAGCATATGGAAGTGATTGTTGATAAATCAAAATAAATTAATTAAAAATGAAAATATTAGAATGTATCAAATACGCAAGGCAACAAATATTAAAAGAAAATCAAAACCCTGAAAAAAATAGAAAAAAAAAAGTAAGATGACTCATATCAAAAACAATGACCTGAAAAACATCAAGGAAAGATAATCTAAGAAGCATTTGGATTGCCTCAAAGCCATGAACATACTAAGGCCTGAGAGAAAAATGCTCTTTTAGAAGCAGAGGGCAAAGTGAAAAAAGAAAGAATCCAAGAATCACCTACTAAAAGAAACCCTAAAATGATTGACACAACACCTGAAAGAAAGAATTCAAGGCACCACATTTATGTTGGCACACAATTTAGTGGGCATCATTATATAAAGGAATAGAGAATTTGGGATATGGTATTCAAAAGACAAAATATATAGGCTGTATTTACAACCAAGAATAACTTACCCAGCAAAACTCACTATAATCCTACTAAGGGACTGGGGAGGGGCAAGAAGAGACCTTTAATGAAATAGAAGATTCCCAAAGTTAATGGAAACTTTGAAATATAGATATGGGAACTGAGAAACAAAATAAATCCAAATGGGCAATCATAACAGACTTAACAAGGATGAAATGTTTACATTCTGATAAGGGGAGATAACCCTCGAAATCTTGTTATCAGGGTTCATGGTGGGAGTTAAATAAGACGAAGAGTTTGGGAGTACTTTTGTTTTTGATGGTTATAAAAGAAGGGAGAGGGAAAGGAATACACTAGGGGAGAAGGAAAGGTGGGGAGAAATTATTTCACATAATCAATGTCTGTAAGTAGAAAAACACAAAGCTTGTTCAAGGAAGAAAGGATGGAAGGAGTGGAGGGAAGAATATGCACACAATTGGGTGCAAAATACAGTTCACTAGCAGAAGAGAAGGAATAAGAGGGTAGATTCAGGGAGGTATTATTCATAGGCAAAACAATTTCTTACCTGGAGGTTAGATCACACAAGTTTTAAAGGGTAAGAAATGTGTATCTAGCTCTCAGATACTTGACTTTTTTCTTGTTTAATCTTGCCTGAAATTTCTAAAATTATAAATTGAATGTAAGCTGCTACACATAAAAGTATGGACTCATCATATTGAATTTCTGGCATGGTTGACATTTATAGTAGTGATCTGAGAGCAAAGTATAAAATGTACCCAGTTATTGACATGATTACTTCAAACCTTCACCTGATTCCAAATGCAATTTCTTTATCTTATATTATTACATTAAATAAATGAACAAATTAGACTCATTTTCTAATAGATGATCACCTATTCATCAAAATTCATATATAAAACAACACTAACAAAGGCTTTAGTCAGGTCAGCCAAAGGTATATATAATACCTAATACCATTTCTTCACTGCCCATATTATTGTTTAGTTGTTTCAGTCGTGTCCAACTCTTTGTGACTCCATTTGGGGTTTTCTTGGCAAAGGCACTGGAGTAGCTTACCATTTCCTTCTCTAGCTCATTTTACAGATGAAGAAATTCAGACAAACAGGGTCAAGTGACAGCCCCAGAGTCACACAGCAAGTGTGTCTGAGGCCAGATTTGAACTCAGGAAGATGAGTCTTCCTGACTCCAAGCCTGGCTCTCTATCCACTGTACCACATAGCTGCCCACAGCTTTTTTTTTTTCAGATGCTCCATAGAGCTTTAGTTAATTGCTCCTAAGTCTGCTCTTTATCAATTTTATTTATTTTATCATTATGTAGTCCTTTTCCTGATTTCAGGTATGAATTCTGATTAATTTTCTTCCATAGTGAACCTATGACTTGCTATGGGAATTGAATACCCATTCAACGGCAATACAAGTTGTCATTCTCATTTCTACTTTTACCAGTTTACCATAACAGAAAGTGAACAAACGCTATTCTTCTGCAGTGTGGTGGGGCAGAAAATGCATTGGAAAGAGCACCAGGAGACCTAGGTTCTGCTATTAACTAGCTTTATGACTTAGGGCAAGTCACTTCATCTCATTGGTCTTTAGTTTCTTTATCAATAAAGTTTAGGGGGTTGGAGTTGCAGTCCTTTCTCCAAAATATTGACTCATTTAATCTAATATAAATAAAAATTATATGCTATTTCAAATAAGCTACTATCATTCAGTAATAATAAAAATTCTGAAGGTTATACAAATATGACTATCACCAAAATAGCATTTTATCCAATATGTAGATATTTCAGTACTTAACTGGAATCACTTTGCAAATGTTCACACAGAGGCACATACACAGATTCACCTTCATCTAGATAGAAATGGAGACATGATCTTTCAAAAGGGGAATGCATCAAGATTAACTGTTGAGGTCCCTGGATTTGAGGTAAAGAATTTGCTTCTAGATAGGCAGAACTGCCAACTGCTTCCTTCCTTTTTTCCCATGCCACCTGTTGGCTAAGAAGTGTCACTGGCTCTCCTTATCCATTACACACTTTCATCGCATAGAAATTCCATGATCTCAGATCTTTTTTGTAAATCGAAAAGCTTCAGTAACTGGGAATGAACAAAACAAGTATATGTGCATACTTAAAACAACAAATACAGTCCATAGATCATTGTAAAAAAGTACATCATTTAACAAAAAATTAAAGATACATGTAGAAAATTTACCCAAAAAAATTAAGTTTATTTTTTAAACATAATCACAATATAGTTTATTCCAATTTAGAAGAAATTGCCGTAACTAAATAACATAGAGGATTTATGCCATATCAAATTCTATTTGCTTATTTTTGTTTTCTCATTTTTACCTTTTTTTCCTTCTTTCTAATATTTCTGTCATATTACTAAATAGTGAAAACAGTAAGAAACCTAATTCAAAACCATATAATGACTTAAGCAGATAAAAACAACAAAATATATTGAGTATTCATCAAGGCTATGTGAAACATTGGAATTACACCATTGTGCTTTATTTGACATGGAATCTTTTCCACATCAGCTTTGAAAATAACTCTTATTGACTCAAGCTGCCAGATCTTTAAGTTTTGTCTCAATAATCTGTGTAACATAGTTAACACATACAAAATAAAACATACCAGTATCTTAACTAACCTGTTCCTCAACCCAAATATCCATCAGAGATAATATCTGGCTGTAACTGTTAAAATAGCCACTTTTCTGGATTTTTACACTAAAAGCTTAAAAATCAATTCACAGTGTGTCCACAGTAGTATTATAAATAACTGCCCTAAATTTTCACCCTTCATAAAAATGAATACCAAGTTCTTAGTACTCTACATTCAAACAAAATGTCATTCTTATAATGGAAATTTTTCAACTTTCAGGCTTTCATGCACTATTAAAAAGCAATTTTGAATTTTCAACTGAAACAAATTTGAACTATTTCTTTGAACTTGATGTGTAGTTCAGTGCATTTATTTTAACTATAACTTTAGCTCATGAGCTATTGCATTAATGGCGTATAAGATTTGCTCAGGTTTTTTATTAGGAATTTTGGCAGAGCTTGATAAATAATGCCCACCTATCTCTGAGGTTTTGCCTGTGAAGAACAGTAAATCTTTTTTTTTGTAAACTGAGTCTTGGTGAAAAGGTCAAAATAAATGTCTACCTCACTTAAGAGAAAAACACGCCCAAGTAAAATTTGCTATAAATTGAATCCTATTACCCCATTTATTTCCATTATAAGCTCATAACTGGACATACTGAGATCGCAATTCAGAAGCAACATCTTTGAAATCACACAATTAAGGAAAAATAGGTAACTTTATGATGATACTTTAATAACTTTATTAACAACATTTCAAATATTAACATATACTAAAAACAAATCAGAAAGTTGAAATACTGTATTAACTTACGTCCTATTGCCTATAGAGTAGGATTACAGAATAATTTATTGAGAAGCAGTGGAAATAACTTGTACCAAATTAGGGTCAGAGAGCCAGCCCAGGAAAGCATTTCAGAGGCCTGCTAGCCTAATGCCTCATTTTACAGGTGAGAAAACTGAGGTGGAGGGAAGTTATAAATTACTTGACCAAGGTCATACAGATAATAAGCACCAAAGATGGGGAACCCAGCTCTTATGACTCCAGAACTAGTCCCCTCTCCACTGAATAACATGAAACTCCTATTACTTACCATAGAAACCATTGTAATTAGATCAAGGAAACAGGACTTTTGGCACATGAACCAGCATTAGTATGTGGACTTCTTTATTTTAATGGGAAAATGGGTTAAGAAAAAAAGCTTACTAAACATAGATTGGTCTGAGAATCCTCAAGGGACTGGAACCAGGAAATATACTTTGTTTATCTCACCTCATGTGTAATTATAAACAAAGTACCATTTCTTATTAAAAGAGGCTTATTAAAAGACTATTAAATTTGCAATTTGAATTGTTTGAATTATCAAACACTCATAACATGGCACAAACTTTCTTATGCCTTTTTCTTATGCTGTAATAGACTAATAGATATTTTTGTCATTTGTGTGGAAATTTAACTGTATTTCTACCAAAGAACCTCATTAACCTAATTCCCTATTATATAGTTAATGCCACATCCTTGAGCAAGGCATTTGAGTCATAAAAATTTCTGTTGCTCAAAAAACAACTAGATTATTTGGGAAATGTGATGCAGGGGACAGAGAGAGAGAGAGAGAGAGAGAGAGAGAGAGACAGAGACAGAGAGAGAGAGAGAGTGTGTGTGTGTGTGTGTGTGTGTGTGTGTGTGTGTGTGTGTGTGTGTGCGTGCATATGTGACTTTATGTCACTGTTGTCTTGCTGAAAAATTGCATCTGAAATTGCAAAGATACCTAAAATACATACTGTTTTCACTCTCGTCCTTCCACCAAATTCCTAAAACGCAGTATTTTTAACAAATGAGCGATGTTGATTTGTCTTATCCATCAGCTTTTCTTGAATGATCTCATCTGCATCACATGATGTTTCATTTGTTGAATTTGAAACTGCACTTAAATTAGTAGCTTTGGCTTTTCTATTTGAGTTACCTGTAAATAAATACACAAAACACCATTAAATAACTATAGAACATTATTATATAAAGTTAGGTTTTTGAATTTTTGCTAAATTTGAATGGTGGAATCATTTTTCCTGGAGGAGCAACATTTTATAAAGTAGAAGCATTATGCTAGAAATCACTTCCTATGCTGTGAATGAGATATAATTAATTCTTTCCTTGAAAGTAAAAAAAAAAATTTTGATGAAAGTGAAAAGAGACAGTGGTACAGAACAGAATGCTAGTCGTGGAGTCAGGAAGATTAGAGTTCAATTGCATCCTCACCCTAGCTGTGTGACCCTGATGCCCAATAAATGCTTGCTCCTTCCTTTTCTCCCTCCCTCCCCAACATACAACAGCAACACTGAATTCATTTTCATTCATACTTTCTGCCTCCATGATTCTATGACAGAAACACGTACTAGATCAGAAGGTATTAATAAATCACATTTTTACAGCTTTAGCTAACAAAACAGCTCTGAGTAGTATACAGCACAAGTACAGTTAGCCCCACTTTACAGATGAGGTTAACAGGCTTAGAGAGGTTTTAAGTGGTTTGCTTGAAGTCACACAGCTGGTAGATGTCAGAGCTAGGACTTAAGGTTTATTCTGAGTCCTGTACACTTTCTATTATGCCATTCTACCTCTCATTCACAATTCCCAGGCCTAATTGATATTTGACATTTATACTAAGGCTACGTCTCCGTTGGGGGGGGTTGGGGGGGGAAGTATATAGTGTAACCAGTCTGTTCATCTTGACCAGAGTCATGATCAAGATGAGTGCTATTTATGAAGACCAGCAAAAGGAATGCATTGTTAAACTCAAAAGCATATGGAAGTGATTGTTGATAAATCAAAATAAATTAATTAAAAAAAACAAAAATAACAAAAGAACTGACATGAAATTAGTTGGCAACATGAAGTGAAGAATCAAATCTTGTCCATTCGTAAGGATCTACCCACTGAACCTGGGCTTCTTCACCTGTAAAGGAAGTAATAAAGTTCTTAGAGGAAGAAATTTAAAAAAAGGAATGCATTGGTAGTGCCATACTCCATAATTTTTGTAATTTAGTAACAGTGCACATCTTATAGTCCAATTGCTTCATTTTATAGATGAAACTGAGATCTAGAAAGATGACATGGCTTAACCGGTAAAACCATTAACATCAGAACCAAGTACGGTGACTCACCATCTCCTTCAGTCACTGCATACAGAGAAACTGAGACTACAAACCAATGGAAGCGGAATAACAATAGCTATAACAGCTAACATTTCTGTGATGCCATGGTCCTCTTTGAGAATGAAGGACAAACAACAACTATGTGCCAGGCACCATGCCAAGCACTCTTCAATTATTGTCTCATTTGATCTTTACAACAATCATTGGAGATAGGTGCTTCATTATCCCCATTTCTTGGAGGGGAAACTGAGGCAAACAGAGGTGAAGTGATTTGCCCAGAGTACCACAGATAGTAAGTGCCCGGGGCCAGATTTGAACTCAGGTCTTCCTGACTGTTCTATCAACTGTGCCACAAAGCTGGATCAGAAGCAGAGCACTTTTGATGTAGATATTCACTCATTAGAAGTTGGGCCTGAAACTATTCATTTTAACAAATATGCTTGATAGTAGCTCCTTTTCTAACACAAAAAAGTTTCCAAGTATAAAGCCAATGATCTGCAAAGAAGAGTTTCAATCCATTACTATTCCTTGGAACTTTTCCAGTGGGTACTAATAAATTACTGTCATTTTGTGCCTTTAACATCTTGTTTGCCACTAAAATCCTGTTATACCTCATCATGGAACAGAAGTCATCCTGGATTTCCTAAAACATATGCTGTAGCAAATTCTATCAAACTGGAAAGGTATTGAGTTCAGACCTTGGAATAGCCTGTATTTCATCTGAGGACCAGTCAAACTCAGTTTGGAAAGGCTTATGTCCAGCAAGCTGCCCACCAGGCAATGAATTGGGAAATGAGGCAGAAATGGAATACAGTAACTCCCAAAGTAGAACTTTATTTGACAAGGCAGAATGTGTCCACCAGCCTGAACAATAGCTTTTTGCCCTCTCAGCCTATAGGGGTGTGAAAGATGGCTAGTTTCATTCATTTTATTACCTCATATTGTGAGGAGTGGCTGGCAAGGAATTTAGGCAAACTGGCAAATTTTTTATTCTTATTAGAAAAATGGGATGAATTCCTTTGGTGTTAGAATATAATTTAGCTGTTAAGTATTTTAGTTCCTGAGGCATGCACCCCAGGCAGTGTAGTAAAGTAAAAGTACTAGATTTGAAGTCAGAAGGCCTGGGTTCAAATCTTGCCTCTGCCACTTATATGATATTTTGTAAGTTATTTAACTCCTTTGGGCTTCAATTTCTTCATTTGCAAAAATGAAGATGTTGGACTAAATAAACTCTACTGTCCTTTTCAGTTCTGAATATATGATCCTATTTGCTGTTCAGTCGTTTCAGTCACGCCTGACTCTTCATGACCCTGTTTGGAGGCAAAGATATTGGAGTGGTTTGCCCTTTCCTTCTCCAGCTCATTTTATAGACAAGGAATTGAGGCAAACAGGTTTAAGTGACTTGCCCAGGGTCACACAGCTAGTAAGTGTCTGAGGCTGAATTTAAACTTATGAAGATTCCAGGCCCATCACTCTATTCACTGAACCCTATATGATCCTTATACAAGAGTTCTAAACTGTAGATATTTTTTTTTGTAATTTTAACATGATTAAAGAGACATGAAAACATCTGTTTTATGAGATGATATTGGTTGCATCTTCCAACATCCTCTCACCTAATACTATGCAAATGAGCTCATAAGCTAAACCATCGTTACCCTGGGCTGCCATGTTTACATGATTGGCAGGGAGATCAAGTGCTTGGTGGAAAAGACAATTTCTATGTTCTTTTGACCAGTGTGGTAGGAACAATATCTACTGTGTAGGCTAAGCTAGTTTTTCCTTAAAATGTATTAAAAGCCAGCTTTGAGGCTTAATTGACTTAGGAAACTGAGATTAAGGCTCAAACCATTGATTATTCCTCCCCCTTAAGCTTTAGTAGTGCTCCAGTAGGGCAAAAACAGAAGTAATGCAACTGCACTCAACTGAATCAATGTTGTGTCCTTGCTAAGTATCTTTTCCCTGTTATGGCTAAGTGATGCTCCTTGTGTTAACTATTGTTGTGGTGGTGGTGGTGGTGTTTGTCTTTCATTTTCAAAGAGGACCATGACGTCAGAGAGATGATGACATGACTTACAATTGATTTTGATTTGAGTGAGGGAGGGCTGCGCAAGGTTGCCGGCCTCACTTTCTCCTCCAGAACCATCTGGGTCCAGTGGCTGGATATTCATCAGGACGACTGGAGATGGCTTGTTAACTGTTAGATGGTTTGTAGACATCTCATTTTGTTTCATTTCCAAAGCTGAAGCACCAGATCCACCTGAGTCAGACCTGAACTATATATTATAGTCTCTTTATTGTATTACATTGTATTATATTATTATACTGTGAGTATTTTATATATATAGTATGAGAACATTATAATTTCTGTGGTACACAATTGAGGAGAAAGTTTATGTTACTTTATAGTTCATTTTGTTTCTTTGTTTACTATTTTTCAGTATCATTACATTAATCAAAGAGGCAATTTTAAAACATAAATTAGCTTTATTTGAAAGGTCAAGGAAACAAAATATAATTGATTACTATTTTGGGCCTAGTGAAGTTTTCTTAAATCTTAATAAGCATCTGAAACACTCGAAAAAAAAAGATCTGTACTTTAATTGCTTTAAATAGTGCTCCTCAGAAGTCAGCAATTGGTTAGGTCTCCTCCTATTTTGCTAATCCTGCCATGTTTAGAGTCATGTTTCTTTTGACTTTCAAAAAGCCATGTTTTGTCCAATCATATCCAATTTCCTAATAGATAAAAACTATCAGCTGTTTCCTAACTCAGTTAATTTGGGTGTTCTCTGTAAGTTATCTACATTCCAACAACTGATTTCTCTTATATTTATTCTAGAAGCAATTAAAATAATTTATCATTTAATCTGCCCCCTTCCCACTGAACTCTATAGGCTTGCAAAATTTTGTTCTAATGCTAGGGCATTGAATTTTCTCTTTCTTTTGAAAATAGCGAGGCCCCCTGTGGCTCATTCTTTTTAACATGAGGGAGAGGACACAACTTATTAGACCTGTTTATTAGAGCAATTCCCCTAATTTTTCAGACCATGAGGGAAAATTCTTATTTTAAATACCAAACTGACCTGATTTGGTTAGCCAGTCAACACTAATAGTGTTCACTCTCTTTCTCGAATTTGTGCAAAAGGCCTTCTGTTTATACCCCACCAATAAATTATACTAGGTACACATAATGAGAAAAAAAAGACATTTACAATCTGGAACATGGAAATAGTAGACATTATTCAAAAGTCACTGCTTTCCCTCCAGGAATACAGGAGGAGAAAAGGAAATAAAACTGAAAAGGAAAAGATTATGAGCCTCAGTTCTGGCTTTCCTTTATTTAGATAGAAAGCTAATTACCTGATCTGCAAGCTAGGTATAATGCTACTTACTCTTTTCTTGGTCATAATGATATTGCAAGGATATGTTCTCAACCAAAGAGGCAGCTAGCTGGCACAATGGATAGAGCACTGAACCAGAAATCAGGAAAACTTCAAAAAATCAGACACTTAGTAGCTGGGCAAGTCACTTAATCTCCACTTGCCTCCATTTTCTCATCTGTAAGTGGAGATAATAATAGAATCTACCTCTCATGGTTGTTGAGAAGATAAAATGAGACAATATTTATAAAGCTCTTTGTTAACTTTAAAGCCCAATATAAATGCTAGCTATTATTATTATTATTAATAATAAAGATATAAATAAAGATGCACTTTAATTCCTCAAAGATTTGTTACACATGCATAAGCATTTGTTTATTTCCTTTTCTTTCCATTCTGGAGATTGCCTAGAACCAATAATTTCATTTCTT